TACTTAAGATTTCTCAAGTCTGGGGTTATTTCTATTTTCTGAGTCCTAATTTTGTTTAGGAATTTGAAAAGTATTTATATTTTTTTACATTGACTTTCCTTAGGGATTTGTCTTTTTCATCCTCAACCAGTAAGCAGTTCTCTGATTGGAAAGGTATAAGGTACTGTCATTATGTACAGATAATTAAGATTGTCTACAACAGAATCTTCTAAGGAATCTCTGAAAATCTGTTAGATCTAATAAAAGCATTAAGTAACTTGTTTGAATACTGGGCAAACATAATAGTTTCCTAGGTCAGCAATGATTAATTTGAAAATATAATTTGAAATACATAACAATGTGAATATTCACATGAATTCACTTGAGTAAAGTGAATTCATGAATAATGCAAGACTTATGGAAAGAAAACATAAAACTTTATGAAAGACATAAAAGAAGGCCTAAACACAGACTTATCATGTTAGGATGCTAATCTCCTTCAAACTGAATAGACTCAATATAATCCTCATCAAAATCTCCAAGATGTTTTAAAAATCCATTGCTACAATTTAATCCTAAAACTCACCTTTGAGACTAAACATAGAAAAATCTAACAAATATTCAAAAAAAATCAATGACTGGAGACGGTCCCTACTAGATATTAAAACATATGTTAAGGTTACAAAAATTAAAATGTTCTCATACTGGCACAGAGATGGACAAATAGACTAGAAGAATACAGAGTTAAGAAAGGAACTCATGGATTGCAACTCAGGAAAGGACTAACTATACTAATAGATGTCTAGGATCTTTAGATAACTACTTGAGAAAAAAAAATCCTTGCATTTTAAGTAACACAAAATAAAATCCAGATAGATAGTATATCTAAATTAAAGGAAAACCAAAATATTTTTTATAATATGGAGGTAGTAGTAGGTAGCAAAGCCTTTCTCTTTTTTTCTTTTTTTCAGTACCGGGAATCGAACTCGGGTCCTTGCACTTGCAAGGCAGGAGGCAGAACCATTAAGCTAAATCCCCGGCCCTACAAAGCCTTTCTAAGAAAGACATGAAACTCAAGAGCTTAAAGAAAAAGACTGACAAGCTAAATAAAATCCCAAAATTCTGTAGATGAAAGTGCCATAAATAAAGACTAAACAGGTGAAAATGGAGTATATGAGTTAACAATTCTGAAACTTTATTCAACTAGAGTTGAATAAATAAGTAAATGGCTGGTAGATAGTGGGAGATGAGATCTCACTGTTGGAAAGAGATAAGCAATGAGGAAAGACTAGAATTGTACTGTATTAGAGTTAGAGACATCAGTCTGAAGTCACACACACACACACACACACACACACACACAGCGTGCTTCATACCACAGATACATTACACAGATGTATAAAGGAGCAATTAGAGACATCTAATTGTGTGTACTTGGGTTATCACACGTAAGAGAGAATCTAGTTCTCTCTGCTGAAAGCCTAAAAGCAAAGAGTGCTTCCAGTACCAAAGATCATCATTTAAAAATATCATTCTCCAATAAAAGGAACTATGAGGCCCATGAAGGGATTAGTTCTAGGTTTGTGGTGGAGAAAGCACAAGATAAACTTACAGTATCTTGTTACAGTATGATAAAGTGAGGAAATATTCAACAAAAAAAATGGGGTTGTGTCAAAGGTACACAGGAGCCATCCTGAAAGAGTTCCAATGGCCTGGAATAGTTGAAGCAATAACATAAGTAGACAATATAAAACTGGACTAAAATTTCAAGTATAAAATAAATACATAAGTTCAAATGCTGGATCTATAGACCAATGAAAGAGAACTGAGAAATAAAATTATATGTGTATGAAGAAAAAAATAGTCTTTTCAGGAGTACTGGGACAATCAGATAGCTACCTATGAAAGAATAAATTGGGACCTCTACCTTATACATTATGGTCAAAATGGACCAAAGACCTAATGTAAGAGCCAGAACTATAAAACTCTTAGAAAGAAACAAAGCTATAAATCTGGATAACCTTGGATCAAGCCACAGTTTCTTGGATTCTTAGCTATCACACAAAAGAATAAGAAACAGAAGAAAAATGAATAAAGTTTGAATAAAATTTAAAGCCTTCAGTATTAAGGACACTTATCAAAAAGTAAAAAGATCTACAAATAGAAAAAATAATTTAAAATCATATATATCTGTTAAGGATTGAGGATCCAGAATATGTAAAGAATTCTTATAGCTTAAAACTAAAAAGACAACCCAATTTTAAAAAATCAAAGGACTAAATAGACATATCTCCAAGGATGACACTCAATGTCTAATAGCCACATAGAAAGATTTTCAGCATCATTAGTTTTTAGGGAAATGCAGATCAAAACTATAATGGAATAATACTTCACACTTATTAGGGTGGGTATTATTTTAAAAACAAAACAAAAATTAAAATACATACACAGGTAGTGGGAATGTAAAATGATGCAACTGTTTTTGAAAATAGTTTAGCAGTTTCTCAAAAAGTTAGACATAGAGGGCCGGGGATTTAGCTCAGTGGTTTCGCCACCTGTTGCGCAGTGCAAGGACTGGAGTTCGATCCCCAGTACCAGAAAAAAAAAATAGTTAGACATAGAGTTGCCATACAACTCAGGAATTCCACTCTTAGGTATATATCTAAGAGAACTGAAAACACATATTCAAACAAAACCATGTGTCGTAATGTTCATAGCAGCATTATTCACAGTAGCCAAACGGAAATAACCCAAAGATCCATCAATGAATGAATGGATAACAAAATGTGATATTATCTATACAATGGAATATTATTCAGCCACAAAAGAAATGAAGTACTTATACACGCTACAACAGATACTTGAAAACATTATTCTAAGTAAAAGAAACCAGACATAAAAGGTCACATAAAATATTATTCCATTTACAAGAAATGTGCAGAATAGATTCACAGAGAAAGTAGGTTAGAAGACTGGGGAGAAAGGAACATGAGAGTGGCTGCTTTTTGGAATGATGGACACGTTCTGAAGTTAAGATGGTGACAGGTACACATTCAGGGTGATTTTTTTTTTTTTTTTTTGGTGCTGGGGATCGAACTCAGATCCTTCTGCTTGCACAGCAGGTGGTGAAACCACTGAGCCAAATCCCCAGCCCCACTCAGGGTGACTTTTATGTTTTATAAATTGAATCTCCAAAAAATTACAAGAAGAAAGCCTATTAAAGTAGGTGCAAAAAGAGAAAAATACATCCACAAGTTTATACTGATGTAAACCAGTGATTCAAATGTATTGTTAAGGAAAAGAAAAAAGAAAGAAAAGAAACCAGACAAGTATACCTTATAGAAAAGTTCCATATAATTTATAGAGTCTGTAGGAAATAAATCTTAACCTTCCTACTGCTAGCTGCTACCATGTTAAGTGTGAGCTGTAATAGTGACTCACATTTAAGAATAAATAGGGTTTGGAAAGGGAAAAACAGTACAGTGGTACCTCCATTCACGAACTTAATTATTCCCATGATTCTAGTTGCAAACTAAATTGAATGAGAACTGAAATCAAATTCAATGGTTAGGTTTAAGGTTCACTTTATGGGGAAATTTGATTCAGTTCTCGTCCAATTCAGTTTGCAACCAGAATTGTAGAAAGAATTAAGTTCATGAATTGATGCACCACTGTAACTTTAAAGTGAGGAAATCTGGAAAACACCTAAGTGATGAGGGCTAAAGTCGCCAGTGATGCCACATGGACCTCATGTAACCTCTGAGGGCACATCATATTTGTGATATTCTTTTAAAACACTCATCACTCAATCTAATCAAGAGAAAAACTTCAGACATATATAAATTGAAGGACATTCTACAAAGTAGCTATTGCCCCTCAAAGCTGCCAGTCATGTGAAATAAGGGAAGACTGAGAAAAAGTCACAGGCCAGAGGCAACTAAGGAGATATGACAACTAAATGCAATGTGGCGTCCTAGATTGGATTCTGGAATAAAGAAAACATTAATTTTTTAAAAACGTGAAAAATCCAGATGAAGTCCAATTTTAGTCAATACTAATGTGTCAGTGGTGGTTTTAAAACTTTTCACAAATGTACATGGTAACATATGATACTAACTCTAGAGCATCCCAGGTGAGAGCTAAAAGCAAACTCTGAATCACTTTGCAACTTTTCTCTAACCCTAAAATTATTCCATAGTAAGAAGTTAAGAGGTAGGTAGAAGGCTGGGTGAAAATATTCATTCATATATGAAAGGCAAATGTATAACTAGGACCAACAGGTCAAGAATATTGTGATAGACTCCATTTATTATCGTTTCGCCTGGCTTCCCTGAAGACAGTATGCAGACTGGTTCAAATAGAGGTAAAGGTCCCCCCACCTCTTCCCTCATTTCAGCTCCATTTATCTTATCATTCATGTAGTCTGTTCATTCTTCAAAATCAATTGAACTGTGTGTCAGGAATTCTTCCAGGAACTCGGGATAAAGCTGTGAACAAGACACCTTGCTCTCAAGGTGTGTATAGGGAATGAACCATGATTGTATACACTAGACATGATGATCTTACTCTCTTTGGCCATGATTGTGATCCAGTTCAGGCCAATAAGATGTAAGAGAGGTAATATAAAGAGATAATTCTAAAGAGTAATTTGTATTTAAATACATTTTCTTATATTTTACACAATTTTAGGAAAAATAAATCTGTAAACCTAAAGAGAGATGGAAATCATGGGGTTCTAAGAAAAAGACAGATTCAGTCTGTGTAGCTCTTTATTTCCTTGGTTTTTAAAAAAAATTCCTTCCATTTGGAAAGTGGATGTGATGTCTGGAAGTGAAGTGGCTATCGTGTGCCTATGGATTGACAAGCATGCTAGGGATGACAACAGAAAAACAGGAAGTGCCTATGTTTCTGTTGCTTAGGTGCTCCTGTCCTGTATTGTTTATGCTTAAATCTCCAAAATTCTTAAATTAAAAAACAAAAATCCCCCAAAACCAAAACAAAATGAACAAAAAGAAATCCTATTTATAGTACTAATAGTCCATTTTTAATTATCTTTAGCAGAATGCACATCTGATGATATTAACAGGCAGTTTAATAACTGTAATGGCTAATGACATATGAAAAGATGATTCAGTCTAACAGACATCAGCAATTGAAAATTAATGTGACATTTCTTCCCACTCCAATTTGACAGTTTTTTGGAGGGTGTGGGGTAATGGACACTCTCCTCTGTTGTCAGTTAAGGGGATAAACTGTTAAAGCCTTTTTTGGCACTAACTGTCAAAGTGAAAATGTACAGAAATATTTGCCTACAGAAATACTTGTACATAAGCAAAAAGATATCAAAGATATTTGCTCCAGCAGTATTTCTAATATTAGCAAGTGAAAGCAAGTTAAATGAGAAAATGGCTAGAGATAGTCCATTGCAGAATACTATGCAGTCATAAAAAGACTGAACATTATGAAGAACACAAATCTGTATTTGTTTTAGCATTTTACCACATTCATATTTTAAACAATAAATTAGAATTTATAGATAAAATATAAACCTACTTTATATCCCCAGGGACTTTATTCTTTTCCTCCTTTTGCAAAGATACAATAGTTATAATATTGACTTTGGTGTTTATCACCCTCATATATGTTTTCAAACCTTAAATTGTATTGTACTGTTATCTATCATTCTTCAACATCTTTTTTATTCAACAACTCTTTAGACTTAAAAATGCTCACCCATGTATCAATACCTTAACTATTTAGCATTCTACTGGGTTAATATATCACAATTTATTCTCCCATTGATGAACATTTAGGTTATTTCTAATTTTTATCATTACAAATAATGCTATAATTAACATGCTTAGATATGTCTCCTTGTGCACATATGGATAGATTTCTCTAAAGAATAGCCTTAGGAGCAGAATGGTTGAGTCTTAGGATGTCCAGATGTATGACTTTACTAGACTCAGGTCTACAATATGTTGTTCAAAGTCCTTGGGGTCAGATGTGTTAAGAATTTTTTGGATTTTGGAAAGGTAATATGCGTATGTGCCATATAGAATAATCTCAGCAGGCTTTGAGAAGTAGCCCATAATCAAATATATTATTTTTTCTGGGGTGAGAAGTATAAATATCCACATTAAGTGGGATAAATGAAGACATGTATTTTTACATCAGGTCAAGTTTTGCCACCAAATAAGTTAAGAAAGAACTTTCAGATTTCAGAGCTTTCTGGGTTTCTGAATTACAGATAAGGCATTTGGATCTGCATCACCAAATGGCTTTCTAAAGTAGTTGTATTTCTTTATCTTCTCATCACCATGAGGTCTTGTTTCTTCACATCCTCACCAATGATTGTTAACATCAGACTTTAAAAATTTTGTCAGTCTGATAGGCAGGTACATAATACTTCTGCAATGTAAGCAAAAAAAGAAAATGTAAAACATTGAAGGAGATCTTGTTTATAATGGTAATGAAAAAAATCATCCACTGGACATGATGTCACACGTCTATAACAATAGTCCTCTGAGAGGCTGAGACAGGAGGATTGCAAGTTCATGCCCAGTCTGGGTAACCCAGCTACTTGGGAAGACCATGTCTGAAGATAAAAAAGGGTGCAGGATGGGGGATGTAGTTCAGTGTGAAAGCCCTGGGTTCAATTCTCAGTAACACACACACGCACACACACAATCCATCCATCCACTTATATACCCATTCATCATCCATAATTGTAGTAAAAAAGAAATATGAAGGATACAAATGCAGAAAATGTTAAAACTGTCTAAAAATATTAATTTGTCATCATTGCATAGCAGGCTTTCTGTTACAAGGATGTCATTTACCTTTAAACAATTTTATAAACTCATTGCAACTTTAAAACCACAGTAGAACTTTAAAATTTTTTTAAAAATTTATGGAATTATCCTGGAAGAACAAACACCCATATATCCAGGAACATTCTGAAGGAGAAATGAGTGATATAGGAATGAATGATTAGATATGAAAACAGATTACAAACATACAGTAATTAAAACAGTGTGGTAATGGGTTAGAAACAGAATGATGATGGACAGAGTAAAGAAAGTCCAGGAATAGATGTGAGGATAAATGGGTATTAAATAGATGTTAAAGATGGCACTTTAAAATGAATCAGTGATGTTGTAAAACAACTGGTTAGCCAGTTGGAAAAAAGAGAAAGCTGGGTCCTTGTCATAAGATTAATATACTAAAAGTGAAGAAAACATGGACCAATATTTCTATAACCTTGAATGGGGAAATATCAGTATGATCCAAACATCATAAGAAAAAGACTGATGAATTGATATTGCAAAAATAAAAAATCTTCCACAGCAAAACAATCCTCCAAACAAATGCACGCTCACACCCCTGTAGCAAATATTGTGAATGTTTCCTCAGTACTTCTCCACCACTCTCCCTATGGTGTACTGGCCCTTGGCCATGTAGTTTGTTTGGGAGTGCATGTTCACACCTCCTTACTCCTTGGCAGAGGTGAGACCTAACTGCTTTAACCTATCAGGGTAATTTTGTTGCCCTTCCTATAGTATTTGGTTCAAAAGCTACTAGCATGTTCCTAATTAAAAATAATTGAATGTAATCCAATTTAGAGCTGTAAATATTGGGGGATTTTAGGATATAATGTTCCCTGCTCTTCCAAGAGTGCCGCCAGAAGTCACTTTCTCACAGTGAGGAGTGGGTTGCAAAACCTAATCAAGTAACAACCATTTATCCACCATGACAGAAGATATGGGGTGGCCTTGTCACCATAAAAGGCAAAGTAGAGAGAAGGAAGGAAAACAGGAATTTGATGTTGTAGTTATTGAATCAAATTAACCCTGAACTACCTTTGGTTGTTTAGTCAGTAAATGTCCTTTTCTGAGTTGGGTTTTTTGTTACCTGCAAAATAAAGAATTCAAATTGATGTACATCATGAACAAACTGTTAAAGTTCCTCATTCAAAGATCTACACATCAATATGGAAAAGAACACAGCCTACTTTTTTAAAGGTAGACTATCTGGATAGCCAGTTCATATAAAAGGAAATGCAAATGACCAACAAACAATATAAAAAGATGCTTAAGCTCACTATAAATTAATGTAAATTAAACAAAGGGAAGTAACTCATTTTTTACTTTTAAGATTGACAAGGATGAAAATTCTGATTTACTCAAGACTAAGGATATATACTCTTTTATAGTCTACTGGAGAGTGTAAATTAGTTATTTTTTAGAAAAATCTACTAACACTTACAGTTTTCAATTGGTGAGCCAATCAGTTCTACTCAAATTTTATGCTATAGGAATACCTAAGAAAATAAGCAAATATATCTGCAATATCTTGCAATATTGTGTATAAGGTGACATACTAGAAACCCTCCAAATATTCATCAATTTGGAATTGGTTAAATAAACTTATAGCCCATCCACACAATGCATATACTTTATGGGTTTCATAAAGGATGAAGAAATTCTGTATGTTGCCAATGAAAGATATTTAAGTTTAATTAAGTGAAAAAATAAAACCATAATGCACTGCAATTTGTGAGTCAGTACATACATATTAAAATAATCTGAAAGAATATTATCATAGTATTAACAGTGATTATAAGTGGGAAATAGGATTAGGAAATAGAATTCAGTGCAGAATATCCCAATTCTGTCTGATACCCCATACACACTGTACACTCACAAATACACATATATACATGTACACACACAGTCATCACACCACTAGGACCTCCTGCTGATCAAGGATTAAACTGCTACTTTCTTTACTTACCTGACTCAATCTATCTTTAACCTCTTCCATACTCAATGGCATTACAAGAGAAGGATGGCACATGTATTCTAAAACCATAGTAAAACTGTCTATAACTTATTGGTTGGTTTCCACCCTATATTGACAGCCCTAGTCAATGTTAGTGACAGAATATTCCTCCAACCAGGGAATACTGCTCTCAGAGGCCCCTCCCTTGGTACCTGACAGTCCCTTTATAGTTTTGATTCTTTCAGTCATGAGTGTCCACATGCCATTTGCTGGCTAGGTGCTGCAGGGGATTCAGATAGGAGTAAATTGTTTCAGCCTTTGAAACTCATGATCTACTAGAAGAATCTGACAAGTCCATAGGTAACTAGAAATTACCAGTCTCTGGAGTTTAGTTTCATGCCTGCATGACCTACCTCCCTGGCAGCCCTGGGTCCAGCTGCCCCTACACGCCTGCCTGGGCCATATCCTCACCTCTTACCTTGTTGCCATGCACCTAAGGCCTTACTGGTTTTCTTTACTTGAGTCAAAAAAATAAAAAAGTTTGATCTCTAGTTCTTACTTTGTCCTATGTCCCCTTGGCATCTTTGTATCTTCTGTCTACCAGCCAGATCACACTCAACCCTCCACTTTGCTCTTATGAGTGCTCCCTGAAAACTCCTTCTTCTCTAAATCTTTGGAAACACACTCGGAGGAGGGGGCGGGGAGTGACCTAGTCACTTAGAACTGATGATCTAAAAAGCCTCTAGCTGGCCGGGGATTTAGCTCAGTGGTTTCACCACCTGCTGCGCAAGCGGAAGGACCCGAGTTCAATCCCCAGTACCAAAAAAATAAAAAAATAAAAACCCTCTAGCTGGCATAGTCATGAGCCCCTTTCCAGTGTCTGTGGAAGTCATTTCCCCTAGTGGGCTTCTCTGGAGAAGGGATTTGCAGGGGAGGGAAGGGCCTTAGTCCACCAGCTTTAAAAATAAGCACCTCATAGAACAGAAAAAAAGCCACCTTAACCTGAGCCTTGTAACAGAGAGGGGAGTGTGTGGGGAGAACAAGAGGGAGATCCAATTAATTACCCTTAGAAGCAAAGGTAAAAGTTGAAGATTACGAGACCCATTTACAGGAGGGAATAGACCCATCATTGAGCCTAGAGAATGGGAGGATTGTTTAGGGCCAGAAAAGCATCTCAATGTTCAGATTCCTTTCCTTTTCTGGAGCTTTGGAGAGAGGAAGGTCATAGCTTGGGTTTGGAAGGTACACTGAGCAGTGGGTTCAGCCTGGGAGGGGGACTGTTGTCTTGGGTCCAATTCTGGGCCCACATCCTGCCCCCACCCTAAGGGAACAAGAGCTTCAATCCTCTCTGGAAGCTGGTATGAGTTGGCAAAGGAAGGAGTGCCCCCTGTGTGAGGCCCATCCATTATCATCACAAGGGCTGATGTCACAGACCCCACAAAGCAGCTAGGGCCCCAAATGGAGGGTAACCCTAACCCCAACAGCGATGAAACAGATAGAGGGAGAGCTCTCACACACAGTGGCCGGGCCCTCCTCCTCCTTGCACTTCCTCAAGAGCCTTTGTCTTCTGGTCCCTTGGGCTTGAAGCCTCTCTCATTCCCCACAAATGCTGCCCATTAAATTCAAAATGAGACCTCTGGGGAAAAGGTCTGGCACTTTCCCTCCCTCTTCTTTCCCATCCTCATCAGCCTGGCCAGCTGTGAGAAAGGGGAAGCTGTTAACTGCTTCACAACTCTCCCTTGGTTTTTGTTTTAATCCCCGCCCCGCTAGCATTCCCTGCTGGTGGTCTCTCCTAGGTAAAGCCTTAGGCCCAAAGCTGTAACAGCACCCAGAGGTTGTGGAAAATATTCTGTGGTGTCAGGTTCAGTTGGACTATGATGGCCAAGCCTCTGTAATTGCCCTCATTTGTCATCTCCCTAATCAACTGAGAAGTGCAAAGGCCCCCTCAATACCACAAGCCAGTGTGGCCAGAGAAAGTAAGAAGTGGCTTTACTCATCTTTAGATGTGACCTGGGGTGGGTGTTAGAGCGACTGGTTGTGGAAACCTACCAGAGCTGTAGGAAGCAGGGAGAGGTTGTGCTCAGAACTTCTGGCTTTCTCTCATGGGTAGAGAAACATTTCCAAAGGGATTTGGTTATTATTCACGGTATTTTAGTCACGAATCTTTCTTAGACATTAACGAAAGCCATGAATCTTTCCATAAAACATAGGTAGGTGAAAGCCCACACACCCCCAACCCCCCACACACACTTGAAGGTTTGGGGGAATCCCTGGTGAAGAACTTCTAAGTTCTAGAATGAAGTATATGTTTTGGCACTGAAGTGAAAGCAGAGAAGATTCTAGTGGTGATGAAGGGCAGATTCCACTTGAAGGACGGACTTTACATTAAGCCAGGCATCTGGAGGTCTGATCTGAAAGGTTGTTCTTGCTCCCTGTACAGGTGCATGAAGGGCATCATTACCACCAACCCTGTATTGGGGTCAGGAGAAGAGACCAGGAGGCAGTGTGTCCAGCTCTGGACACACTTCTTCAATGCTCGGCCATGAGGCATGTTATGGAATTGGAGGGAAGGGAAAAGGCTTTAGATTGTACATATGCTATGGCTCAGGACTGGATAAGCATTTTAGCTTTCCATGGCTCACACATCACAACATCACTGCAAACTAGGGAGCATCATTCTGATTTCACTGATATTATAAGATTTAGGGAGTTAGCTAATTTGTTCAAGGTCATCCAGCTAGTTAGTGGTGCTGCAAGGTTAGAAATCCAGGCCTCTCAGATGTTAAAGTCCATTGCAGCAAGACATGACTGAAGACATTCTTCCCAGCCTCATTCCATGGCTTCCATTCCAGCCTAAGAGGCAAGCAGGTTGTGAGCTGCTACACTGACATTCTGGTCTTACCATGGTTCCAAGTGCACCTAGCAGATTCTTCATTATCTTTCCACCAATTGTGCACTCTAATGTGGTCTGGACCTTAAATATTCCCATAGCTTACTTGAGTTTGAATTAATTCAAGGGTCAGCTAACTGACATTCTGCTTTCTTTGTGCTGTCTTCTCTAATAGATCTTTTTTTTTTTTGGTACTGGGAATCGAACTCAGGACCTTGTGCTTGCCAGGTAGGTGCGGTACCACTGAGCCACATCCCTGGCAATCAGATCCTTTTTTACACTAGTCAAAATGCCTGTTGCTCTCTCCCCTGGAGCTCTCAAACAGGCTCATCTGTCCTTCTCCAGGCTGGAAGAAGCCTTTCCAAGCAAGGCTGGTGTTCCAAACTCATTCGACCCTCACACTGCCTAGGTTAGGATTCTTTATAAATAAGACATTTCAAGTTACTCCTCTTGATGATGATCTCAGTTGTAGCTGAATAGATGAGAAACCTAACCCAGTGGTTAGGGAGATTTCCAAGGCCACAACACAGCTCCTTGCCTTGCGTGGCAGACAGGCTTACTTTACTATACCAGGCTCCTGCCTACTCTATCTACTCCTCAGTCCAGCTGAGTGGGAACAGTGTTTGCCATTGGTGTCTATCACCAGCCACACCTACACTGTGCAAAAGTGATGGAAGAACAAAAAACCCATGAGACGGCGCTGTGACTTTTGAAACAGGTATGTAGGCTCTCTCGTTTAATAGCAATTAAAAGAGGAAAATGTACAAGAGGAATAAACATGCTCTTTCCACAGAGGCACTTTCCCCTAACCATATGGCCCATTTTATCAGTAGCTTTATGAGTGAGTTTCAGAGAAAAAAGTTCCCCTTAGAATTAAAAATGGACTTCATTAAAATTTCCCCATAAATGTATATCTACTTGTGCAAAATAAAAATGCCATATCCAACACATTAGTGAAAAGTCATTGTAAATGGAAGCAAACAAAGAAAGAGAAAGGAAAGAAGAAGGAAAGAGGACAAGAAAGAAGGAAGGGAATAAAAAAGAATGGAGAAACAAAAAGAATAAAAAAGAAAAGAGAGACAAAAAAGAAAGAGGCAATTGAAGCAGTCAGAAGAGCCCTTATAGAAGAGACTCAGGTAGGGGGATTTCTGAAGCAGTCCCTAGACGATGTGTTCAGAGACCTGAGGAGGAAGGTCATGGCCAATGCCAATCCTTCCCTGGGTCTGGGACTTGATAAGCAAGTAGTTGTCAAGTATGCAGCAAAGATAGATAACTTTGAGGATAGAAAGACTGCTTGACCTGGTATGCAATGAAATCACCAGGAATACTCCTGAGGGGCTGTACATTCCCTATGACAACAGTGACTTTACTGATTCTAATTCCAGGTCCTTGCCTGTTCTTCCCCACTTGCAATAGTGTCACCCAGTCTGCTCAGAGACTTTCCTATGTGTTAAAACTAAGCAAGCTGTCTGTATTACTACTGAACCCCACTAGGATCCCAAACCAGACTCTCTTCAGGAACATAGACTTGGGTTTTCCAGGAATGTGGACAAAGGCTCATAGTGACCAGAAGATAGGAGGCTTCCAACCAATCGTGTTTTTGCTGTCTTACTAAAGCGGTCCCCCGCCAAGGGCACTGGTATATATGCAGGCATATGAGGCTAGATCTGAGGAGTGTGAGGGGCATGAGCACATATGCTTTGCATAAGTCCTTTCAAGTGCTGGCTCAGCTATAGGCCAGCAGACAAAACTAAGAAACTCCCACTTCATCAATTCAAAACCCCTTGACATTGCTGGTCCCTGTTCTCACCTTTCCTGGCCTGCTAAGAGTATGTCTCTAAATACACCTCAGAAGCAGCATGTTGGTTTGTTTTGTTAGGGAGGAGTAAAGGCAGATGGAGAAGGAAGAGGAGATACATCAAAGGGTCCATCCTTATGAGTCTTGTGCTTGAGTAAGCTTTTCTTTTAGCAGCACGTCATGTCAAAGGTGTAGAGTAGCCCCTATTTCTCCATGTTGTTCACCTTTTCTTTTATAGTACAGTTCTTTCGGTACAGAGGTTTGTGAGTAGACCAGCAATGATGACTTTCTAGGAAGACAAATGTTGTTCCATGCTTGAAATTCACTCCACTCCATTCAAACTAGTAAGGAGAGTATTTGGGGTCCTTCTCAATTAATAGGACTTAAGATTAGTGTAACCATTTCTCACCTTTTCCAACAAAGTTCAGGGGTTGGAATCTCTTGAGTCTCATTCCCACAGGCCCCTGCCTTCCTTTAGCTTATCAAGATTTTTGCAACCCTAACCCTAAAACCCTGGGCCAACTGCCTAGTCTGTAGGATAAGTGTCACAGGCTTTTGCAGAACTTTGATGCAGCCTGGCAGTTGAAGAGGGCTGCACATCAGTATGCATACTTTCTTTTCCATGGTTTTCAAAATATATGATAATGGTAGAGGGTGAGGTATGAAAAAGGAAGCACTGGCCTACTCAGAAGCAACTCGATAGCTGACAAAAGTAATGAAAAATCTGTTTGATGAATCTCTCCTTCCACTAATCTAAGCTGGAAATGCCCACGTGGCTTATTTGTCATTGTTTGGTGATGTACAAGTATACCCTTACCAGTAGTTGTAGTAGCATCTTTCTGAAGTGTCTGATAGGTTCCTCTAACTGATCTTATAGCAAAGCCCCTACCTTAAGGCTCTGGAGTCCTTTGGGGACAACAGATACAGCCTCCAAGCTAAGCTGGTTTAGGCTTCAAAGTTTTGGAGATAATATTATGAACAATTATTTTCAGATGAGCCCAAAGGATGGCTTTGGGAATGGATCTCAGAAAAGGATGGAAGCCTTGGGCTTGAGCAAGAATAGCTTTGTATCCAGTATATAACTTAATGAAAACGGCAGCTGGGCCAGAGGAAACATGCCACTAACCATAGTTGGCCCTGTCTACTTCATGGTGGCAGTGGCTTCATGCCTAGTCCAGCCATGGCTGCCTCCATAGTGCAGAGCTGGTGACATTTCATTTTAATATGGTGGCCAGAAAGCTATTTTTAAGCACAAATGAACATTCCAAGTAATCCTTGGATTTTACATAAGAGTAAATAAAGTAAGGACTATTTTCAGGCTTCTGAGATCTGGTCAATCTCAATGGCACTGCTGGAAGAACCAAGTTGGGACTTTTTCTGTGAGGACCTACAGAAATAACTGTCAGCCCAAATTTTGAACCAAGTGCTCCAACCATATGAGAAGGTAATAAGGTAAACAGGAAAAAGACTGAGGCTCTAATTCGAGCTTTTTTCTTTTCAGATCCAGAAAAACACCCTAGGCTAAGAATCAGCACTCTCAATGTGAGAGCAACCTGCAGTGAATCCTGGGGTCCAATGGTACTGCTGCTTATCCTGCCATAGAAAAATAAACAGTAAAACCCTTGAGTCAGATTAGGACTAAAGAAACTGCATCCTTGGGTGACTGAAGTGTAGCTGTCACCTTGCCACAAACCATGCTTGTTCACCTTTCAGTCAGACTGAGAGATGGACATCTAGAACTGTCGTTAGTGTATTAAATAGTAATCTTTGATAGGCCCCTTCCTTGCATCAGGAAGGATCAGCCTCATCTATGTGGTAAATGGGCACTCAGGAGTGAACAGGATATACTTTATTATAATTTTGCTTACTTACCTCACCTCCCAGAAAAATCACCCACTTTGTCTGGGTAGTTCCTGGCCTCCAGAACTAAACTGTAGAGCCATGGATGAGAGGTGGTTCATCATATTAGGAATGATGATATCACCCTTTGTAGGATAATACAGACAGTGTGGCAATAACCTCCCAAGTCCCCACCTAGCAACATCTTATGTACTTGCTTATCCTTGTGACTCTTTTACTAGGGAAAGATTATGTGAATACTGTACAGGGTTAATAAAAAAATACATATGTTCTCTTTGAAGAAGAATGCACAAATGCAGTGCCAGCTTGAGCTGGATCCTAGACTGTGGAGCTGCAGGAAGTAGCCTCTGTAGGCTGAGGGCAGCCTTCATAAGTGGTGGCTGCTGATGAGTCCTCGGAGCTGCTTGGCCACAGTGTCAATCAATTTCTGCTTGTCTCGCTCATTCTTCCGAAACTGTGCAAACATGTTGTTCTTGCGGCTAGCATCCTTCATCCTAAACAGAGGAGGAAAGAAAGAGAAGAAAGTGTTTGAGGAGATAATAGAAGAGAAATTGCAGAAAGTAGGATGACATGATGTATCTTAACTACTACCGAGAGCGGAAGAGTCCAGACTTTTCCCATTGTTAGGCCTGTACTTACCTATTGATCAGGAAGCTACCCTTCTGGCATGCTCAGCCCTCTCAATTTCAGTCACATTTGGAAAATAGTCAAGAGCCAGCTTTGGAGGGACCACCCTTCTTATCGCCCTCACACCTACTCACCTCATTCATTCCCTCTCTCCCCAGGTATGCACCTGATATAGAAGTATGAGACATGCTATAGCTTTGCTGGCCATTAGGCGCTTACAGAATGTCCAGGATCCACTCATTACTTCATGAACCTGTTGGGACCTTACAGATGGTATTTGAAAGTGAAGCATAAAAAATGTTCATAAAACTAGCAATCCCAAGAGAACATGAATAACTACAAATCACTGTATATTTCCAAGCTTCACTCCAGCTGGTTACTTTCTCTCATCCCTAAAGAAATTAAGGGCTTGACTAATCTCTTTTCTTTGGTCTCAGGGTAAGGCTTGATAGGCAGTCAGGTGACTAAGAGGTATGGTGCTAAGGATAGAAGGTACCAAAGGGAGGACTATCCTCTCACTTGAGAAACCAGGGTTTTTAGCAAGAAAACCCCCTGAATTTTGGCTGTCTATATTCTCAGGCCTTTGATTTTTGGGTCATGTTAAAGTTCCACAGATGACACTATTCCTAGTGCACAAATAATGGGCAGTTCTGGCCAATGATTCTTTCAGATGCAGAACCTTACCTGGGAAGCACGGATAAAGGAATTGTTACAGAATCTCCAACACTGACCATGTCATTTGGACAAAATCTATGAATCTGTTATTCTAGACCCCTAGCACCTACTGGTTAACTCTGATTCCAGCCTCTCCATACCACAGCCCCAGCCCACAGCTAGTTTTAGTGTTAGAGAATTAAGGATGGCGGGCAGACCAATTTCTCTGGGATAGGGTAGACCAGCCTTTATACTATTCCCTAGGAACTGGGCCAACTCTCTTACTTCATTGCTCCCTGGGCTGCATGGGGACATGATAGAAGAGAGAAGGGAAGGAAGCTTGGAGTATAAATTACTCCCAGGTATACTTCCCAAGGGCCTTTGGCTAGTCCTGGGACTTTTTCCCCCTCAGTGGGCTGTGCTTTGCAAAGAGGGCAGATTAGAAGTCAATGAGTCCAAAGGGCAGAGATCCCACAAGGGCATTTATGTCTGCTATAGGTACAAAATATTATCATATATACAACAAGCATATGGTATATCATATATTCCATAAAGGTATTATATGTGGCAAAAAAAGTTCTGATGAAAACCAAAACCAAATCTAATTGTGACTTTTCTCCCTAATTTAAGCTCAAAATAGCTCTTCTGGGTTAGAATTACTCACTAAACACACTCAGAATCACCACCCACATGTGGAGGCCTGCGCTTGCAGGAGGAAAGTGGGGTGCTTGAGCTTGGATGAAAAGAAAGCATAAAGGTCCTCAAGGCTCTAGTGATGATTGTATTTGGGCCCTTACACACTAGTTGCACAATTTCATTTGTGGAACTGGTCTCATTTTAGATGATCCCGGAGGAGGATTCCCCTTCCACATTGAGTATACTATAAATCTAAAGAACAATAACACAAAACAATGAAAAAAGAAAGGAAATGGAGAAAAATTACTTTCTAAATCATAGACATTTATTTTAATGTCCTATGTTATCATTAATTCTGTAACTCCTTCAAGCATTCCAGGGACAGGAAGCCAGAGTTGGCCTTCAGCTTCCATGTAATATGTTGAAAAGTGAAGATGAGAGCAGTCTCTGTACTCCAGAGGCTAAGATTTCCTGGCCATTAAAGCATGGAGGTGGAATTAGGAATTATATGGGTAAACCCATATGCCCTGAGGGGTGATAATGACATGCTGGTTTGTACTCAGGAATATTCTCAATCCAAATCTCTTTCATCTTCCAGCCCATTCTGTAAGCCCAGGGTCCTCTTTATATTCCAGCTCTGACCACTTCTCAATGACATAGAGGTCTTTTCCTTTTCTTGAATGTCTTTAGCAGGTATTTGGGTCTTTCTATGTCTCATCCTGCTAAGGAGGACCAGACAGAAGAGATTGTCAAGCTCAGTGCAGCTGGCTGTGGGGAAGAAGGAATGGGTGAGGTAAAAGGATTGATTCCTAGGAGGCTAGAAGATGTGGGTTTTAAGTGATCTGGGTAGCCTTTTCCCTGCCGTTTTTGGAAGGAAGCTTTTAAACTCTGCTGATTGCTAGGGTTAGGACATAGCTTTATTACTGGCTAGGCATTCAGAGTGGTAGACAGAAGCTGATTATTTTAGCCCATTGCTGATCCATGGGAAGTGGGTGAGCCTGCACTTTCTGGATCTACAGATTCTCAGAAATTGAGGAGTAAAAGACTCCCTTAGAGAAGTAACTGACTTGAGGGAATCTCAGAACCCATTTGGATACATAATGAATGTAACCATTTAAGAACCAACTCAAGAGTCAAAATGTTTCCCTATTTCAACTGGGATTAGGACTTGCCTGTAATGAGGAATTTTCCCTGAGAGACTCAGGTTCCAGATCTTAAAGCTATGGGCTTTAAGATCACCATCAGGAGATGGAGAAACTGTTGAGGGGTTTTCTTTTGTCAGGGCTGAAATTTAAGCCCTGAACTGGTAAGAGCACCAAGTGTCAGAAAGTAGAGTGGGAACAATCCTTTAGCTGGCATGAAGAGAGAAAAATCCCTGCCACCTCTCCCAGCCCCAAAGGAATTGGTAAGCCACGGGTCACTATAGACGAGGTAGCCAGCCAATTGGCACCAGGCTGGTTTAGTAGATTAATATGTCAGGGTGGGGCAATATACAGGGTAGGGATTTTAGTGTAATCATTAGTGTCAATAAGGAAACCAGTAGGACTTGTCTCAGGATGATGGAAAAGGCCCAAGTGAATGATATACTTACTCTCTAGATATCCTAGGGAGGAAGGTCATTGGGAGAGAGAACCATGGGAAACAAAGTTAAAATGGAAACATCAGTCCTGACACAATGTCAGTCTCTTGGTTCCAAACACACAGCCCTGCCTCCTGCTCTTGCCTTCCCTCCATCTCTTCTCTTTCCCTCTAACATAGCACACAGTAAGAAAGATATACTTTGACTTCCCCTGCTTCAGGCTCTGGTCTGACCTCCTAACTCTGGCCCTTGCCTTCTTGGGATTTGAGATATGCCTGACTGGCCATAGACACAGATTTTCTACACTGCCTAGATGCAGGGTGCTTTTCTGACCACTCATTCCAATTATAGGAGAAAGCCGCCCTTTTACAAGGGTCTTGGTCTCTGGTATGCCAGCTCTTGCTAGGTGAGCAAAAAGCCAGAGCTAGGCTGCAATGCACAGACGATCCTGGCTTCTGGGTGACATATTAGCTCTGGGATGTTCTGGATCTGGCTAACCCAATTCCAGAGGCAGTACCTCTGCTTCAGAAAGACTACGGCTCTGTGGCAGAGCAACTTTTATGGCTTTCTTGGGGCAGCCAGCACAATAAAACTCATGTCAGGGGCCCAGATTTGGGGGCAGATGAAAGTTTCAGTAATTCCCAGGACTTCTCTGGTAGAGAAACCACGTGCTCTGTGGGGCTGCTCTGTCTATCATCATAACCCAGGTAACTCTGGCCATTCTCACTGTGCTCACCAGGTGAGCCTGAGCTCCAAAATAAGCCAGCTTCCTTTCTTCTCTTATTCTCTCTAAAGACACTTTGCCCTGTTAGGCTGACAGTGTCAGTGTCAGTGTCCAGTACTTTCAGAGGCCTCTGTACTTGGCCTTACTTGTTGGGGCTTCAGAATTAAGAGGCTACAAGAAGACTGGCTTGCCAAGTACAATGATTGAGACAGCTGATGGCCCCTATGTTAACTCCAAGAACAAGGAAGGTTTTCAAGGTATTGGCAGCAGGAAAATTACTTTCTACAATATCCCCTTATCCCATCTCCCCTATTTCCAACATAGGTCACTGGGCTGGGTACTCACTTCTCAAGCAGGGTCAGAGCTGTTACTGGGTTTACCCGTAGGTACTTGCAGTTGGGCTGGCCATAATCAGCAAGGTAGGTTGACCAGTCCCACTGGATGAAGAGATCCAAAAGCTGTAAAATATCCAAATCCCATGCCAGGGATTAATCAAGCAGACAAGACAAATCAGGATCCCAGAAAATCCCATCCTTTTACTACCAGCTAATAGATTTGAAAAAATAGAAATAAAAATGTAGCAAGAGAAGAGTGGCTACAGACTATAGGGTAATTAAAAAAATAATGAGTAAATATTAGAAGATGGTCTCTGTCATAAGCACAGTGAAACTGCTAAGACTAAATGCCAGCAGTGAGCCCTAAGAGGCAAGCCTGTAAAGATTAACACTGGACTGATAAAAATACAAGACTCACATTAATCATTTACTTATTTATTTAATAAATACTGATCTAATGCCTTCCACATGCCAAGAACTATTCTAGAGGCTCAGTATCAAACAATTTATGAATAAAAGTGGATGTAGCCCAGTGCCACAGCATACTTTTTAACTTTGGTTAATTTAATATTTATGCTACCCATATTCTAATTCTGTAGATTGACCCCAAGTCCTTTACAGACTTTTTGTTACTGCTTCATTACATGATACAGCTTAGGATCCGTAATTATACTTTGTTGTCATATCTCTTTAGTCTCCTTTAATCTGGAATATTCTCACAGCCTTTTCCTTTCTTATATGGTATTGACATTTTTGAAGAATATAATCTCTCTGCCTTTTTTTCCCTTTTAGTTTGGTTTTATTTGATGCTTTCTCATAAGATTCAATACATGCATTCCTGACCAGAATACTACATAAGGAATGCTATGTCCTCCTCAAAATATCACATCTGGAGGCATATAATACCTGTTTGTCCCTTACTAGTGATAATTTTGATCACCTGCTCAAGATGTTGCTTGATTTCTACAATGTCTAGTTATGTTTTCCACTGCAACTAATAAGCAATTGGGAAGACTATAAAAACCATGAAAATGATCCTGATTAAAATTTCTACCTATATTTAGAATCCAATGAGGATTCTTGCCTGATTCAATATTTACCATGTTGGTTGCAAACTTATGCTTTTCCAACACAATCCTTCTCTTCACATTTATCAGTTGTCAGTCATTCCACTATAAGGAAGTACTCTTTCTTCTCCCCTTATTAATATATTTATCAAATGGTTATTGATATGGACTAATGGAGTCCCACTTTTCAATGGCTTATATTTATTGCTATGCCTATTGTTTTGGTACTCAAATTGTCCCAGATTTGGCAAGTGGGAATCCCTTCAAACAGAAGCCTGGGTTTCTGTGACATGCCCTCATAATTTTTTGGAGCACTTTCCGGCATTCTAAGGAGTTGTGGGCTCATGTTGCATCTATCCTGCCCCATCTCTGTAATTGGCCCTTTCTCTGAGAAGATTGTTTTAGTGAGGATATTATTGGAGATCAAGATTTTGGTACTAGGTATCTTCATTATTACTGGAATGTCTTTATTCACTGCTCTTGAGGGGCAATTTGTAAGGAGCTAAGCTCTTTTATCAGACAGAGCTGGGAATAATATGCATGTAAATATACATACATATTTTAGAAATTACAACTCCACATCAATATCCCTATTTCTAATCCATTCTCACAGGGTTCTTTTTTTTTTTTTTTGCCTTCCCCAATGAGAATCCTAGAGTTCAACTCATCATTTCATTTGCTCAATCCTAGAATATAGCTACAATGGTTTCAGAATTGTTTGAACCTACCACTAAAAAAAAAAAAAGGCCACTAAAAACAAGTTCAAGATTTGTTTGCAATTCTCCCTCTCAAGTGAAGACTAAATGTATACTATCAAATACTGTGTTTATAAATCTCTTTTCCCTTCCTCCAGTATAGTTATAGTATTCATTTAAATGCAATTAGGATCTTTCTTTTTCATTTGTTTTTAGTTTTCGGTCTTCCCTCCCATCCTTGTTAATTTTTTGAATATGTAGGACATTAACATGCTTACACAAGTAAAAACTATACAAAAAGGTTAACTTGGAGAAGTATCACTCCTTCCTTTATTGTATTCCTTTTACCTCAATCTCTCCTATGTTCTATAAGTCACCAACTTCACTGTTTTTAGTTTGTTCTTCTTACGTTTCTATTTGTAAAGGTAAAGCAGATATATGTATGCTCTCCTATCTCTCTTCTTTTTTTTTTTTTTACAGAAAGTAACATACTATATGTACATTTCAGAGCATCTTATGTCTTGATAAGCAGGTGGTGGATGAAGAAGAATAAAAAAACAGAGGATCAGAGGTGAGGGACAGAACTAAAGATCACTATTCCCAAACTTTATTATGAAGCATTATCTTCACAATTTTTACCATATATTCATGCTTTTTCATGTGATTTAGTATTTAATGGCACATCTGGGGATCATCTAAACCTATCCTGAGTATCTCTTTATGGCCTTCTGTACCTTGAATATTTTACTCAACCTATATTTTAGGATAAGTTTGAGACTTCGACCAACAGTTGAGCAGAGTTAAGTGGCCTATGGACAAAGAAGTAATTAAATCAGCAGTTTCAGCCGAGCATCATTCTCATCAGATAGGAGCAGCGCACACTGGGAAACTGTGTCCTGGGCTAGCCAGGAAGATCCACAGCTAAGGGACTGGTTGGAGCAGGTAAGGCTAATGAGCGTGAATGAGCTGGACAACTTGCTAACACAACCATATCATTATTCTTCTCATGACTAGATTTCCTCATCAGTTATTAGATTTCTTCAAAACTGAGTTTTTGATGAGTTTTTACTTGTTTGTTAGAACACTGCTGAAATACTTGATTCTCCATGTGCTAGCTTCTGATAGAATTTATAAACCATGCTTTGGGTCTGCAATATGCCCATTCTGTTTATATTTCTTAAGAGTTGCACAAAATAATAATCTTCTGAAGTTTAAAAAGTTCAAGTGAAGAAACCTAACATCTACTGATTTAGAATTTGAAACAGAAACAATAAAACATATTTGCTTGTCTCCGATTTTCCTAATAGTAATATTAAAATGAGTGGTTTTCCATCATATAGGACAATAAAAGAAAAACATGAATTTTAATCCAAGCCAAAATAGTTCAATGTTATTAAATGACATACAGACTATTCTTCTTTTTCAATCATCAATTAAAAGTTTTGCAAAATTTTCTACTTATAAGAAAAGTGACCACTTTACCCCAGAAAGAATGCCTGCTATCAAGAAATCAACCAACAACAAATGGTGGTGGGGCTGTGGGGAAAAAGGAATCCTTCTCCACTGTTGGTGAGAATGTAGACTGGTGCAACCACTGTGGAAATCAGTGTGGAGATACCTCAAAAAACTAGGATTACACGTCCCATTTCACTCAGCTATTCCCCTGCTGGTTATCTTCCCAAAAGGATTAAAAGGATCATACCACAGTGATATATGTGCAGCCATGTTCATAGTGGCCCAATTTGTAATAGCTAAAACTTGGAAACAGCCCAAATGCCCATCAAGTGGAGACTGGATAAAGAAAATGTGACTTTTTAATAAAATGGAGTACTACTCAACCATAAAGAATTAGAAACTAGGCTTGAGGCCCAGACCTGCACAGCTACAGGTGGATCCCAGCCAGGGCTCTGCCATACCCCAGAGCCCAAGACAAAGTCCCAGCCAGAAAATTGCTGCACAAGAGCACAAGCTTCAGCCAGAGGACTGCCATTTGATCCGTAACTGTGTGCAGATCCTGGGGAGCAGCTATGAGGGCCAGACCAGCGAAGCTGCAGGTGGATTCCAGCCATGGCTCCGCTCCTACCCCAGAGGCTCCTGCACACCCAGCCAAGCCAAAGGCGGGCCCAAAAAAGAACCGCACAGGCACACAAGCTTCAGCCAGAGGCCCACCATACCATTGGCCACAGCCAAGGACCTTCCTGGAAAAGAGCTACACAGAAACACAAGCAATACCCAGAGGATTGCCCCCATACCATTGATAAGTGCAGGAGACCCTAGCAAGAAGCCTGTGTAGACAACAGGAACTGGGGTGCACAGCCCCCAGCCAAAGGCCCTCCCAGACAACAGCTACATAGGGGTCCCAACAAGAAGCACGCCTAGATAACATCCCAAGTATGCACAGGCCCAAGCCATAAGCCTGCCCAGACAACAGGTCAGCTCAGGGATCCAGAAGGCCAGCACTCTGAACCCAGGAATTGGTGTACTGATGAGCAGCAGATTAAAGACTGCTTGGTGGCTTGCTAAGAATTCAAGACCATTGGGTGAGCAAAAAGTCACCTCAAGAAAGGTACAGCAGGCTGCATCTGTTGAATGAGAAGACACGTAAATAAATTTCAAAACCAGGCTTCCAGATCACCTAAAGTAACCCCAAAGGGCAATGAGATGGAATAATCTGATATTCAACTACCTGGACTCCCTGAATTGGCAACAAAAGAGGACCTGGATATAATTTCTCAGATAACAGCAGAGATTGTGCCCATAGTACAAGACATGATTAATAAATCTACAGAGGACACAGATAAAAAAATAGAGGAGCTGAGGGACATGATGGAATCCCAACATAGGAAACAAATGGAATCCATAAAACAATGCAAACAGATTTCCAGGAGATTAAAAGCTCCATTGAAAGTTTATGCAGCAGAATGAGCCAATGGGTGTATAGAATTTCAGATGCAGAAGATAGGATGCAATTAGTGACCAGGAAAAGAAAAATTTCTTAAAAATAGTAAGAGACCACGAGAAATCAATCCAGGAGCTGCTAGATGATGCAAAGAAGATAAACATAAGAATGATTTCAGTCAATGAAGAAACAGGAGAGAGTGCAGATGACATAAAAAAACTCTTCACAGAAGTGATGGCAGAAAACTTCTCAAATAGGGGAAAAGGACTTCACATAGAGACAAGTGAGGCATATAGGACTCCAACTAGCCTTGATCAAAAAAATCTACACATAGGCATATAATTGTTAAGATTCCAGAAACCCAACAGAAGAACAAAATTCTACAAGCAGTTAGAGAAAAGAAACAAATCACATACAAAGGAAAGCCCATCAGAATCACAGCAGACTTCTGAACACAAACCCACAAGCCAAGAAGTGCATGGAGTGACATATTTCAAGCCTTAAAGGAAAACAGCCTCCAACACAGACTGAAGTACCCTGCAAAACTATCTTTCAAAATTGATGGAGAAATAAGATACTTTCATGACAAAGAGCACCTTAGGAACTTCATGAATACCAAACCAGCACTCCAAAGAATTTTACACAATATCCTAGAAACAGACATTGAGGAACACAACCCCAGGAAGCAAAGCAGAATGAACCCATCTGGCATGACAAGAAATTAAATGGAAAGGGGGAGAACCCAACAAAAAGAAAAAGTCATGGCAATGACAAGTCAATACGTTTCAATTATAACCATCAATGTTAATGGTCTCAATTCACCAATCAAAAGAAATAGACTGGCAGAATGGGTCAAGAAGCAAAACCCAACAATATGCTGCATACAAGAAACACACTTAATTCAAAAGGAAACTCATAGACTGAAAGTTAAAGGGTGGAAAACAATACTCCATGCGACAGGAACCCGAAAAAAAGCAGGAGTAGCTATCCTCTTTGCAGATCAAGTGGAGTTCAAACCAACACTGATTAAGAGAGAAGGACACTACATCCTTGTAAACGGAACAATCCAAGAGGAAGAGATGACAATCATAAATATATATGCAAAAAACACTATTGCACCCAACTATATAAAACAAATACTAACGGACAAGAAAAATCAAATAAACACTAATACAACAGTGGTGGGGGACCTCAATACCCCACTGTCACAAATAGATCAACTAGACAAAAAATAAGCAACAAAATGCTAGAACTCAATCGAACTCTTGAACAAGTGAACTTAACAGATGTTTACAGAGTGTTCCACCCCACAAAAATCAGAATACACATTTTTTTTCAGCTGCACATGGGTTGTTCTCTAAAATAGACCACATACTTGCTCATAGAACATGTTTAAGTAAGTGCAAATGAACTGAAGTTATCCCTTGTATATTATCAGACCTTAGGGTGATGAAATTGGAGATCAATAGCAGAAGAAACTGCAACAATTTCATAAACACATGGAAATTGAACAACACACTTCTGAATAAACAGTGGGTCACACAGGAAATTGAAGAAGAAATCAGACAGTTCCTTCAATTAAATGCCAATGCCAATACAACATATTGGAATCCATGGGACACAATGAAAGCAGTCTTACTAGGGAAAATCATAGCAGTGAATACTCACATTAGTAAAACAGAGTGAGCTCAATTACACAACCTGAGGCTGAACCTCAAGCTTCTAGAAAAAGAAGAGCAGCACAAACCCTAAGCTCATACAAGCGAGGAAATTATAAAGATCAGGGCAGAAATCAATGCAATAGAGACTAAGAGAACAATACAAAAAAGTCAATGAAGCCAAGAGTTGGTTCTTCGAAAGAATAAACAAAATTGACAAACCCTTAGCTAACCTAATCTGAAAAAGGAAAGAAAAGACCCAAATCCGTGCAATTAGGAATAAAACGGGTGAAAGCACAATGGACCCAGCAGAAATCCAGAGGATCATCAATACCTACTTTGAAAACCTATAATAAGATGGAAAATACAGAAGAAATGGACAAATTCCTAGATATGTGTGAATTACCAAAGCTGAACAAAGGAGACCTAAAAATTCTAAATGACCCAATATCAAACAATAAGATTGAAAATGTAATTAAAAACTTACCAACTAAGAAAAGCCCAGGTACTGATGGTTTCACTGCTGAATTCTACAAGATATTTAGAGAGGAACTAATGCCACTACTCTCTAAACTCTTCAACGAAATTGAAAGGGAAGCAATACTCCCAAATTCATTCCTGGAAGCAAGCGTCACCTTGATCTCCAAAGCAGAGAAAGACCCAAC